ATTCTTACTAATAATGTTAAATTATTTTCATGTAATAAATGTTTGGGGGTCAATGAACAATCTGAAACTTCATGAAGGGGTCGATCAGCTGAAGAGTTTGGGGACCCCTGCTTTAAAATCACAAGCCATGGCTATTTCATCCTTCCCTACCTGACCCCTTAAACAGTCTTGGAAACTTCCACTACTGCAAAATTACACGTAGGAATAACCTGAAGGATCTGTTTCTTCTGTTTTCCTGACCGAAACAGACTTATCTGGCAAAAGGTAACAAGTATGCTAGCTGGTTTGTATCCCCCTTGTTGCTGACAAGGGTGCAAAACAGAGCAACGATCAAAGACATGCAAGGTGGACGTTTCTCTTTTGCCTTCTTACCTGGGGAAGGTTTAGGACAGTGGTACCCTGTGTAAGGTTTACCCCGTTCGTCTCAGAGAAACTCTCGTGACACGTATATTCAGCAAAGAAGTTTACTCAAGCGTATCATAAGTACAGACAAAGCCAGGGTTGGCTTGGCATAGCTTACATGGTATTTTATAGCTTCCCCGTTGCTGCGCTTTACCCGTTGCTTAGTTACAGATTACCCGCAGTAATCCCCCCTTGCCCAAATGGCAGATTCAGTCCCGTGCTTTTGTCTTTCTGGTTGCAGTCTATGGGTTGTGCTGTTGTTGCCTTGGTTGGGTTTGCCTGTTTGCGTGCAAAGCTGGGAGTTCTCGATCGCTCAGCTCGTTGATTGCTTCGCTTCTGAGTCTCTGCGCTTTCCTTTGTTTGCAGCGCCGGAGGGAAGCCTCACTGATACAAAGTATCTGCTTGCGGTTTGAGCCACCTGTCAGCAATCAGTTTGCAGTTTCACTTCCCCTTTTTCTCTGCTAGCGCCCGGGCGGTGAAACTAACTAGGCGAAGCTGAGCAGTGCGTTCGCCCTGCCGTTCCATGCCGGCTGACTCTGACATCCTGCAGTTCTCCACAGTATATTCTTCCCAGTGTTATGTTTATTTCTGGTGAATCCTTGATGGGAGGGTGCAACACCACCAGAATAAGGCTCATAAAACCAGCTCAAGCGTAACTACAAGAGCGAGCTGAGGTTGGGTCAAACAGTGATCCTGGAAATTCGGGAGCTAATCAGGAAAACGTGCTGGATGCTGCCTACTTTTCTCCACTGTCCTAAGAAATGTTGGTATAGTTTCAGAGAGAACTTGGGGTTTCCCCCAAAGATTTGGTGAGTGGTTTGGCTGAAGCTTCGGGCCACATTTCCTTTATGCAGCCTCTCCCTACGTGCCAATTCCAGCGTGCTTCTTGGTTTATCGAGAAGTTCCTGGAGATGAAGCACTAGAAGAGACACATAGAATACTATTGGAGGGAAACTCAAAGTGAGTCTGACCAGACAAATAAGAGCCCATGTTAGGGATTACCTTGTGGTGATAAGGGCAGCGAAACATCAATATTTCTCTGCCCTTATTTCATCTGCTGATAGCCATCTAGTGGCCCTGTTTAGGGTGACCTGTTTCCTGTTGGGTAAGGAAGGCCCCTTGGAACATCCGCTGGGCCACCATGAAGATTATTTAGACTATCTGATGGATAAAATCACTCAAGTCCACTTGGCTCTTCGCAAGGCAGCTGCTGACCATGCAAGGCCTTCTTCCCAAGGTCTTGCAGGGAAACCTCTGCAAATGACCTTGAGGAAGAAGGAGGAGGAGGAGGAGGAGGAGGAGACCTTGTGCAGTTAGCAGCTGCCTTGTGAAGAGCCAGGCCAGGCATGCTTCATCAGTAGTAGGAGCAAGAAGATGGTGAAGGTCAGCTGGGGGTGGTGGAGCATAGGGCGGCAGGGGTGGCAGAGTGCAGGGTGCCGAAAGGGCAGAGATGGGGGTGAAATAGGCAGGGGAGTTGTTGAAGTGCACCCTGCAATCATAAATGTGGGCAGGCTGCTCAAGCACCCAAATTTTGATCATGTGACTACAGGGGTGTTCCAACAGCCATCTTTGAAGACCAACATGAGTATCATTTATTCAGTGCTGTTGTACCTTTGAACAGTTGCTGGATGAATGGGCATTAAGCGAGGACTACCTGTGAAGACCTACATGGCATACAGTGTGGTTACCTGAGTAACTGCCTTTCTCTCATAGTATTGCCTGACCGATTTGATCCAGCAGAGTTGGTGCGCTCCAGGTTTCTTCAATTAAACAATGCCATCAATCATGACCTGGAAGTGGACCTTCTGTGTTGCAGTGCCTGCCCTCTAGAATGAGGTTCCCCCTGAGATTTGGATGGCCCCCATCCTGCTGGTATTCCAGAGATCCTTGAAGACGTTTGATGAGGTTATTGAAGCCCCCTTCTGGGCAGTGTGTGTTTGTTTCCTGCTGTTGCCCAGTTTTTGCCATCTTTTGTTCTTTGTTTTTATCATTGTATCATTTTATTGTTCTGTGTGTTTTTAATCTGTGAACCAACCAGAGTTGCTGGGAGTTCAGCAGTGTAAAAATTTAATAAATAAAAATCAGAAAAATAAACAATTAAGAAAGTATTGAAACAGTACATATAAAAGATTCCTTTAAAATAGATTTTATGGAGGGAGATTAGACTTTAAAAGAAACATGAAACCAGCAGAAATTAATCAGTGAAGGAAAACAACACAACTTTTTGTTTGGTATAACACAGATTTTATTTCTCCTGTAGAGTTCATATTTACTATAAGAAATTCACAACAGTAAATATAGTCACTAGAGGATGTAATGGAAATTGTTAAAAGTTTTATTGGACATACTCTACCAAAAATATATTCTACTCATTCATAAGTTACTCCAAGAACCTGAACTTGCTGGTGGATTTTACTCTTATCCTATGGAAGAACATGGAAATTAAAGCCTCTTAAAATAAAAAGAACAGTGTAAAGTATATTGCAAAAAGAACTGAAGCTATTCCCTAATGTATGTAAGACAGATTATTGATGAGCAGCATATGAAAAATGAAGGCAATATTACACAAGGAAAAAGTTGTAAGAAGAAACTTTAAATTTATCTTTTGAACATTAATCACTTTTAAGACTGAAATAAAAACATTAATAACCACTAATCCCCCCCTTGGGCAAGGTTTAATCTGAGAAGAAAAAGAAAGTAACTTAGAGAGTTTTTCCCCCCACGATGCTATCTGCTATAAAATCTACCCAAAATATAAGGTGGGAGGATAATATTCCATTCATATCATCTTAGAGCCAGACTGACATTCCTTATATATCTGCTAAGAATTAAGCCCCACTTATGCCAGTGGATTTTCTCCCAGGTAGATAAGTATAGGACTAAATCTGTTTATACTGATCAATTGTTTCCACTATGATAGTGGAGAGCTCTTGTAGGCTGTAAATCATTTTATCATCTAATCTTGAGATGATGGTCATGGAGTCCCACAAATGACTGAAGAGAAAAACAAGCAATAGGTATGATTTCTGGTTAGAAGAAAGAACAGAGATTTGAGTCTAATGTATACTAATTGCCCCACCGAAATTGAAAACGCTTGTTTCTTTGGCTATTTGGTTACTGAATTCATTTCTTAGATCTTGTATCTGTTAAAACTCAAGAAATTTAATTTCATTTTTCAAAGAATTTGTCTATGGCACTTAAGTTTCTGCATACAAACTAGACACATAGTAAGATTCAGATAGTGATCATGGAATATTTATAAACACCTTAGCAGTACTTCTTATGGTTGATGTAACCAACTATTTATACACCTAACTGATAAAACTAGCAGTTAATTTCTGTGTTTTTATGACTGTCACCTTTATAAATATAAATGTCCAAACATCGCTATATGTATTGCCTTTTGTTCTTTACTGCATATTTTTCTATTTTTTCTTTAAACAGAACCAATGGGCTAACTCCAGAGAAGCTCTGATATTGGGAAAGGACTTTTTAGAGGTCACCAGAATTGCATGCAGAAGGAACAGCTGAGAAACCTCCAGGTACCCCCAGGAGGATAATATGTTTACGTTTTTTGTAAACACCATTCCATTCCATGTGGTAATGTTCTAATGGCCAACTAAAACATACATTTTGCATTGTTCTGAGTGCCTTTCTCCAATTAAGATGCAAATACATTAGACTGACTGAATCCAAAGATTTTATTCTGCTTATGGAAGAAGAGTTCTGCTTACAGGAGGATTCCTTCTATTCACAGAAACCATTTTCTATGATAGGAAAACTCTTTCATTCATGAAGAAAAAAAATATTTGGATCCACCCCATTCTTAATGTTGTGAGATAACAGTATTTAAAAGAACATTGAGATTGCAATACACCCCCCCCACACACACACACACTTAATTTTAAAATGCATAGTCATAATAAAATCAACTTAATATAAGTAACTGACAAATATAAAAATCTGAAAAAGAAAGTATTTTTTCAGGGATAAATTAAGAGTGAGAGCCAGTTTGGTGTAGTGGTTAAGGCATCAGGCTAGAAACCGGGAGACTGTGAGTTCTAGTCCCATCTTAGGCACAAAGCCAGCTGGGTGACTTTGGGACAGTCACTCACTCTCATCCCCAGGAAGAAAGCAATGGCAAGCCACTTCTGAAATCTTGCCAAGAAAACTGCAGGGACCTGTCCAGGCAGTTGCCAGTTATACAAAGTTATTGATTCAGGAATGAAAGATTCTAGAAGGCACAGAAATAATAAATAAAGAGTAGTTCACAAAAGTATTTATTTAGGAGATATATTTGGCAAAGATAATATTATTTTCCAGAATAAAACTATAAATTTGAAACAAACAAAATAGCATGCTTTGAATATATAATGAAATATTTAATGAAATATTTTGATATTTAAATAACATTACATATTGTGTATAAGTAAATATATAAAATTTTGATCATTACTATGTCATCTATATAGCAAAACTGACTATCAATGGACTGTTATAAACCAAAAAGATAGAAAACTCTCAATTAGCATTTGAAGCTCTCTCCTCAAAATTAGGACTTATTCTTCACCACTGATAATGTACTATGTTAATGAGCATTAAAAAATGCCATCAAATATGCCAAGAAAAGGCTTAATATCATCATCACCATCACCATCACCATCATCAGAAAACTGATGCCTAGGAGAAAAGAAAGCACAAAGGAAATATTATTTTTACTATATTAAACCTTATAAACATTACTATTTTTCTTAAATATTTCTTGAATACATTTCTTGAATATGGAACAGCTGTTAAACCAAATTATTGTGTTAGAGTATAAATATTAGTAGCATATGCAAATCTGAATAGAGAATTTACTTCTGGAAACCTCTGAATCATTCCAGAATGGCATGGTCCAGATATTGATCCAGAGGAGGAACCAAGGTGTTTTCTAGAATATTTCATTCCTGAATCAATGAGTTTTGTACATCCCTAATTATATGCATGTCTTGTCTCATGTCAGCAATGAGCAATCTCAAGGCTGTAAAGAGAACAGTCAAATATCCATTAACTCAGGTAGGAAGAAAAAGTTTAGAATCTATACTTTGGAGCACATAGACATTTTGACTCCTGTGTACTACAGTAGGCAATCTTCTGTGTTTATGGTTTTATTGTTGTCTGAAATAAAGAAACTAACTAGCTGAGTTATGTCTATGAGCAGTTCCAGAATAAAGGGTTAGTATCTAGAGAGTTCAGATTTGCAGCCACGCTTGAGAGAAGTCTGACATATACTGTAGGAAGATAAAAAGAGTTGGTTAGTTGTGAGTGTATGACTTCTGAAATACATATTTAGATACAATTATGCAAATTTCAGTTCAGATTCTGGTGGTTCTACTAAAATGTTTCTTAATACCTAAGATCAGCCCTCTTCATCATACTTCTGTTACTAATAAAAAAGTCTCCCTTTCCAGCAACTTGGTAAGATCTCAAAGGTGTTTCTGAGGTTGTAGTTAACTGTGCCATTTTCAGCTTTTCTGGAGGATTATATTCTTCTTGAAATCTAAACTGTAACACAAAAACCCCAAGAACAAATGGATACATTTAGCATCATATAATCAATAGTTTCCTTCTATATTACAGGAATTTATACAATTGAGTCTTGGAAATATAAACTTAGGGCCTAATATTGTACTAGAGTGATTCTATGCTATGTTCCATGAGGAAAGTTTCTCAAGGGTCCATGTATCAGAGGTGAGTGGCACTAAATTCAAAAATGTTTCCCATCGTTTTTCTCTCTACCATTCTCCAAACATCAAATAAACGACAAAGACACAATTAATCTTTTTCCCTAGGTATCTTCCCTGTAAAATGCCCCAGTAAAACTTAAAGCAGATACTTCTTCAGCCAAAAAAAAAAAACTATAGGAGAAGCCAAGGAGGTAAGCCTTGACTAGATACTTAAGGCACTGAAGGCCACATTGGTCCCATAGACTGGCATCTTGCTGTCCTCCTATGATAACATAGTAGATCGACTACAGAAGTAACTGGTGGAAAACATAAAGGTAGCAAAAAAATTGCTGCAGCCCCTTCTTCCCAAACTTGTGGACATGACTAGGGCCAAACCCAGTTCGTCACTGTGCTTAATTCCATCAGACCCAGAAAGGACCATCCCTGCCTCCAGAGAAAGCCTCCCCACCCCCCACCCCCGTAATCCCATCCAACCAAGGAATAGAAGCTTCACTCATCCACTTGCACTATAACCTGAGGGCAGCCCTAATAAAGCATTGCAACATAGAAACTAGGCAATTAAGATTTCATCCTTAATCAAGGACAGGCAGTTGATTACCATCTCTTTAACAATGTACTTCCCCAGTGCCTCTGCCTCTTCTGAAAGCACGGCTTTTGCTTAACAACAGAAATGGCCCCAAGCACATAGTCAAAGACCTTCCTAGCTTCCCCAAAATTTACCAACAAATCAGATTCTTAGGATTTCCCACCTGTAGCCTTCAGCTTCTACAAAAATAGAATTTTGCTTGCCCATTCTTTGAGGTTCCTCTTTCTTGTAAAACTGGGACTCAACAGTCATTGAATAAATGCTTGGTTATTTCTGCTCAATGTTGTGCCCCTTTCTTCTGAATTTTTCATGACAGTAACAATCTTTCAGAAATTGTAATGGAATCACAGGCATCCAAGTATGTGCAACTGTTGTCCCTGTCTCAGTCACACACCTAAATACGTGCATGCACACACACAAATGGCAGAGACGTTTGTTGGAAGTAATTGGTAATAAACACAATAAAAACTATGCATGTTTTCAATATGCATTTAGCATAATGTTAGACCAGCAAGATGATCAGATTTGTATATTATCACTTACAATATTTTGATTTCCATATTCTGCAAGTAATTTGGTACTGGATGGTGGAGTCAGTGAGGGAGAGTAAGAATTTTGTAGGCAGATATCAGGTTTCATTTTATCTATGGAATAACTAAAAAAATGAAATAGAATCCAAAACAAAATTAAATACTATAAAAGAAGGGGTTTACATGGTTTTAAAAGGCAGCAAGGTGCTACCCCAATGAGTTATGCAACATTTTGGAGCATTTTCATTCTATACATATAAGAAGGTGTGTTCTAACTGTAGCAACATATACATCTCTGTATTCCACTCTTATTGTATATATTTAGGGTATTTTTGCAGAAGGTTTACTTACAAGATTCATTTGATACCAAGAAAAATACTAGCTGTGCAATCTACGTAAAAGAGAAAATTTTTGTGCAAAAATTTTTTTTGTGCATATTTAACTCTTGTTCTTGTGAACCAAGAATACTAAAATGTTCTCTGGGATGCCCATTTTTAAAATCATAAACATATCTTCCTACAGAGAAGTGGTCTGTAACTGATGGACAGAAGATAACGGGGTAGTGTATCCCTGGGGGATTTACCACTGGAAATCTTTTTATATGCAGACATATCTGAAGATACGTAAGTAATTATTGTATTACATTATAGATACCTTTTAACAAGTATGCCAGGAGGTTTATTCTGGGTATTTTGACAAAAGGATGTGTTTTTTCCTGAATTCTGGATGCACATGCTTATGGATTCCAGGTGAGAAGATTCTAAAACACAAAAATAACCCCAAATATCTTGCAAATGGTATTCAAAGATATCTGAAATTGATCTGATATCCAACATTTTAGTACTATAATAAAATCTTGGCTGATTTTGAAAAAGATAAGTAGGGTTGGCCCTTGGATGGGAAAACGGCCAAAAAATCAAATGGCTGTAGATTAAATTGGGAAGTAAAAAATAATCCTGTAAGAACAGAATCTTTATCCAAACAAATTCTAATCCCATAGAAGAGGATATGTGTAGCTCAGGATTGAACTGTGGAGTCCTTGGGGTTCTCTGAGCTTGGTTGTTTCCTTGCAAACGTTTCGTTATCTGACTAGGTAATATTTTCAGTGCTAGAATGGAGTGGCGCTTGCTCTCTGTTTATATACAGTGGTATGCCCTGCCTGTGTTGGTGGGGGGTTTTTTTCCTGGTAGTTCCTTGATTGGGGTATTGTTTAGTGCTTGATTGTATGTCTGGTGATTATCTTGGTGTTAATCTCTGCTTATTTGGGTAATGACTGCTGGTGAGGAGATGTTCTGGTGTTTTGTTTCCTTTTTATTGTCTATAGCATTTCCACGCATACAACCAAAAGTATGGATCCGGTATGTAGATGACACCTTTGTTTTAATAAAAAAGGAACAACTAAAGAAGACACATAAAACCATCAACATCTTTGAAGGAATAAAATTCACCAGAGAGGAAGAAAACAACAACATGCTACCCTTCCTGGATATCCTCATCAGCAGAGGAAACATCAGAAAATTAGAAACTCAAGTCTATTGGAAAACAACCCACACTAACC